AGGTAGACACGGTTGAGCCTGTCGAGGTAGCTGTCGACTCTCGTCCTGCTAGGGGTGCTGAGCCTGAGGGTGCTGAGCCTGAGCGTGCGGAGCCTGGGGGTGCGGAGCCTGGGGGTGCGGAGCCTGGGGTTGCGGAGTCTGGGGGTGCGGAGCCTGGGGTTGCGGAGTCTGGGGGTGCGGAGCCTGGGGTTGCGGAGTCTGGGGGTGCTGAGCCTGGGGGTGCGGAGCCTGCGGGTGCTGAGTCTGGGGGTGCTGAGTCTGGAGGTACTGAGCCTGGGAGTGCTACACCTGGAGGAGCTCTCTCCTCACAGCAGCTGCGTGAGTGGTACTTACAGTACTGCAGCCTCAGGAGAGGTGCTTCTGGAGCCAGGAGTACTGCTGGAGCTGGTGCTAGTGCTTCCCCTCCTAGGCGGGAGCTGCCCTCTCCCCAGCGGCTCCGAGAGTGGTACGCACGGCGCTGCAGTCTTCATAGTGGCGCTCCTAGTGTCGCGGACCCAGCTGCTGGAGGTTCTGCTGCTGGCGGTGCTTCTGGCGCTGCTGGAGCTGCTGCTGGTGCTGGAGCTGCTGGTGCTGCTGACGCTGCTGGAGGTGCTGCTGGTGCTGGTGGTACTGCTGGTGCTGCTGGAGCTGCTGGAGGTGCTGCTGGTGCTGGGGCTGCTGGAGCTGCTGGAGGTGCTGCTTCTTCTGGAGGTGCTGCTGGTGCTGCAGACTCTGGAGTTGGAGCTGCTGCTGGTGCTGAGGACCCGGGCGTTGGAGCTGCTGCTGGTGCTGCGAACCCGGGCGTCTGAGTTGCTGCTGGTGCTGCGGACCCTGGAGTCGGAGCTGCTGCTGGTGCTGAGGACCCTGGAGGTGGAGCTGCTGCTGGTGCTAAGGACCCTGGCGCTGGTGTCTCTGCTGGTTCTGGAGACGCTGCGCGGCCGCGGCCGTACTTCGTTCCGCTCCTTCAGCAGGTTCTTGGTCAGCCTCCTCCTCCTTGTCCTCCTCCCTCCTTAGAGTGTCCTCCGTCTGTCCAGTCGCAGTCACAGTTACCGTCTGCCTCCCCTCTCCCTGGTCCTTCTCCTTACACTGGTCCGACTGGAGGTCTTACGGAGCGTCGTGAGCCTGAGTCTCGTCCTGCGTCGCCTGAGTCTCGTCGAGCGTCGCCTGTTCGTGCTGCTCACACTGGTCGTCGCGTCCCGCGTCAGCGTCCTCCTGCTGTCCCAGGCACTCACCAGATGGCGCTTCGTCCTTCCACTGCTCCCCAGCGTGTCCCTCTCCCGGCTCCTCCTGCGTCCTCTCTTCCTGCTCTTGCTGACCCTGAGTCTGACTCTCTTCGTGCTGCCAGTCCTACTGTCACGCGTCTCCTGGCTACTGTTGTCACTGACCCTTCCTTTGAGTCCACTGCTGCGTCTGCCTTAGTTGCCGAGCTTGTCGACTTTGCTGCCACTTGTCGTCTAGACTACGCCGCTAGCCTAGTTGCTGAGTCTGAGTCTGTCTGTCCTCCGTCCGTCGGGGGTGAGTGTGCTCTTGGCACGGACGTCCTTGAGGACAGGCAGGAGGAGTTTGAGTGCTTTGCCGCTGCTTTACCTCATCTCGTGTCCATGCTAGTTGCCCCTGAGGGAGACCCGGATGCACCAGACATCCCGACCCCACGCTCTTACGCAGAGGCGATGGAGGGTCCCTACTCCTCTCAGTGGCAGACAGCCATGGACGCAGAGATGGCTTCCTGGAAGTCCACAGGCACCTACGTCGACGAGGTTCCCCCACCTGGGGCGAACATCGTCAGTGGCATGTGGATTTTCAGGGTGAAGCGGCCGCCGGGTTCTCCGCCTGTCTTCAAGGCGCGTTACGTTGCACGAGGCTTCAGTCAGCGAGAGGGAGTTGACTTCTTCCAGACCTTCTCCCCGACCCCGAAGATGACCACTCTTCGGGTTCTGCTGCACGTCGCCGCTCAGCGTGACTACGAGCTCCACTCTCTTGACTTCAGCACTGCTTTCCTACAGGGCAGCCTGCACGAGGAGATCTGGCTGCGCCGCCCACCTGGCTTCACTGGGTCGTTCCCTCCTGGTACCCAGTGGAGCCTCCGGCGGCCTGTCTACGGTCTCCGACAGGCGCCACGTGAGTGGCACGACACACTGAGGACTACACTTGCGGCTCTTGGGTTCGCTCCTTCTACTGCTGACCCGTCGCTGTTTCTACGCACCGACACCTCGCTGCCGCCGTTCTACATCCTCGTGTACGTCGACGACTTGGTCTTTGCCACTGCAGACACTGCGGCACTCGCCCACGTGAAGTCGGAGCTGCAGAAGAGACACACGTGCACAGACCTGGGTGAACTGACAAGCTATCTTGGCTTGCGGATCACCCGGGACAGAGCACGGCGCACCATCACCTTGACTCAGTCACACATGGTGCAGCAGGTCCTTCAGCGCTTCCGCTTCACGTACTCCTCGCCTCAGCCCACTCCTCTGCCTACCGGTCACTCGCTCTCAGCTCTGCCTTCGGATGAGTCCGTAGAGCCGAGTGGCCCGTATCCAGAGCTTGTGGGCTGCCTCATGTACCTGATGACCTGCACTCGACCTGACCTTGCATACCCTCTTAGCATCCTTGCACGCTATGTCGCTCCTGGCCGTCACCGGAAGGAGCACATGGATGCCGCTAAGAGGGTGTTGCGCTACTTGTGCAGTACGTCGGGCATGGGGCTAGTGCTTGGAGGACGAGACCGAGTTGTACTCACTGGGCACTCAGACGCGTCTTGGGCTGACGACCAGGCTACTCAGCGGTCGTCTCAGGGTTACACCTTCAGCCTTGGCTCTGGTTCAGTTTCTTGGCGTTCTACACGCTCGTCTTCTGTTCTCAGCTCCAGTTGTGAGGCTGAGATCTACGCCACAGCTATGGCTGCACAGGAGTTACGCTGGCTCACCTACCTGCTGACCGACTTGGGAGAGCGGCCTCGTTCTCCTCCAGTGCTGTACGTCGACAACAAGGCTGCCATTGCCTTGTGTGAGGAGCACAGACTGGAGCACAGAACGAAGCATATCGCTCTGCGCTACTTCCTTGCTCGAGAGCTGCAGCAGCGCGGTCAGCTTCGTCTGCGTTACGTGGCCACTCGGGCCAACACTGCTGATGTGTTCACCAAGGCGCTTCAGCCTTGTGACCATCAGCGCTTCTGTACTGTTCTAGGCCTCGTGCCTACTGGGCCTCACTTGCTTACTTCTTGACTCTGCTTGTACTGTGATCTCTATATATATACCTGCTTGTTTACTCTTGCTAGGTTGTGATCACTGTATCTCTTGTTATACTATCAACCTGCATGTGAACTGGTCTTGTGACCACTTGCTTGTGCTCAGAATTTGTGTGGTTTCCTTGAGATCCACCCTGAGCTTGCTTTGCTTTGCTTTGACTGGTCTTGTGACCATCTGGTTGTCTCCCATTTAGCCTATGGGGGTGTGTCAAACATTATATGTTCATATTGTGTAGGCTATAGTGGGTTTAGCCTTAGGGGGTACAGCTTTGTTAGGGTTTCCTACTTGTATCCCCCTCCTACCTAGTTTCATTCATTCTCGTTCTATTCTGGATTCTAATAAAATCCAGCGGTCTACCTTCGGCATCAAAGCGCAGGACCCTAGGCGTCGCCATAGCTGATGCGGAGGGGAGGGAGCTACTTCTGCCACGCCTTAGTTTTGGCGGAGGAAGCCCTAGCTGATGGGGACGGGCAGGGCGCGACACGACGAGACGGGCAGGGCGCGACGCGACGGGCAGGGAGGCGCGACGGGCGCGACACGACGGGACGGGCAGGGCGCGACGCGACGGGACGGGCAGGGCGAGATGCGACGGGCAGGGAGGCGCGACGGGCGCGAGGGGACGGGACGGGACGGGCGCGACGCGACGGGACGGGCAGGGCGCGACGCGACGGGCAGGGAGGCGCGACGGGCGAGAGGGGACGGGACGGGACGGGCGCGACGCGACGGGACAGGCAGGGCGCGACGCGACGGAGAGGGAGGCGCGACGGGCGCGAGGGGACGAGACGGGACGGGCGCTACGGACGCGAGGGGACGGGACGGGACGGGCGCAATGGGCGCTAGGGGACGGGACGGGCGCTACGGGCGTGGTAGGCTCGGCGCAACGAGCGCGAGAGGCTCAAGAGGAAGGAACGGGATCCTAACCTAGGTGATACCATGTCAGAAACGGAATGATGTATGTATTACTCTGAGTTGGGGTAGATCAACCTAACCCTAACAACTGTACACCTCATGACATGCCTCACAACAGGCTACAACATTTGACAGGAACCTATTCGTGTGAAGTTGAAATGCGTTTTAGAAGTGATGACTCGGTAAAGACTCATTTGAGCGTATAGGTACATCATCGAACATGTATTCTCTAGAACAATATATTATCTTGTAATCTATCTTCTAATATATTTACTGTTCTCATTTCACGGACTTCTGCTTCATTGCATTTCTCAGCCCAACAGAGAGAATCATTGATTGCAAGAAGGAAAAAAAAAAACAAATATCATAATATATGCTATGATACTATACTTCATCTGCATTTTGTAGGGTGTGTTTGTTGGATATGAGTTTTCTTTTAGGTTGAGATACACTGAACAATGTATACATCCACAGTCATAACTGAGTTAGATAATGAGTTGGTCGTATGGGGTTTTGACAGTTTATGCGACTAGACCTACCGTATCATCGGCAGGATCTGTTTGGCAGCAATGTTGCTGCGAATGACGTGGCGCGACCTGGTTTGAAGGGGAGCAAGTGCTTGCACCAATGACATTCACTTTTCCCGTAAGTAGTTACTGTAGCTGTTGGCGCTTTTCATATCGTGTTGCGTTGCCGATCTTTCTTGTTCCCCCGGGCTAACCGCCAACTTGGTTCATCCCCCACTCAACCCAGTCATCCCTGATCCCCCTGCTCCTGGGAACTCTGAACTCAGCGTGTGTGGCTTCTCACCCTTCTTTCAGCGCGCCTCCCTTTCGACCGCAGTGGCGTGTAACTTAGCTTACCACGATGTTTGTGGGTAGTCCCGGCAGTAGCGGCAGCGGCCACTCCATCCGCCTGGGGACCAACGAGGATACGTCGCAGCACATGCCTGTGCTCTTCCCCACCTATGCCCAGCAGCAGCAGCAGGTGCAGCAGCAGCCGCAAGAGCGTGTACCTGACGCGCGACGGGCTGCGCCGCAACCGGCGGCGCCAATGCGGCCGGCGGCGCAGGTGAAGATGCGGCTGGGCACCAACGAGGACTTCTCGCAGTACATGCCGCCCATCCACCGCGCCTCCGCCGGTCCCGCTGCGCCTCAAGCCAGCCCTTTCGGCGCGGCGGACGTGGCGTCCATGCTGGGCGCGCGCGTCGACGCCATGACGATTTCGCCGGGGGGGGCGCCCAGGCGGACCAGCTTCGAGGCCAGTCCCAAGGCAAGCCGCGACCCGTTGGCGGCGGTGGAGCGCTCGCAGTCGCACGACAGTCGTGGCCTCGCGGCCGGCCTGCGCGGCAGCACGCCAATGGCGGGTGGCAGCCCGCGGAAGGACGGGTTGGCGCCTGGGATGGCGGGGTCCCCATCGTACGGCGCGCGACCCTTCCCCGATAGAGGCGTCGGGGTGCGTTCGCCGAGCCTCCACCGTCCCCGTACCCTATCCCCCCTACTCGCTTCTTACCCTGCCTTCTCCCCTCCCCTTGTCGCCTCTTTTTCTCTCTTCAGTACGCTCTGCTCTCTTCGTCCCTCCCTTGCGCGCTCTGCGCACTGCCGTGTTAGTCCGCGCGCAGTGCTGCGCTCTGCCGTGTTAGTCCGCGCGCAGTGCTGCGCTCTGCCGTGTTAGTCCGCGCGCAGTGCTGCGCTCTGCCGTGTTAGTCCGCGCGCAGTGCTGCGCTCTGCCGTGTTAGTCCGCGCGCAGTGCTGCGCTCTGCCGTGTTAGTCCGCGCGCAGTGCTGCGCTCTGCCGTGTTAGTCCGCGCGCAGTTCTGCGCTCTGCCGTGTTAGTCCGCGCGCAGTTCTGCGCTCTGCGCGCCGACCTTAACCGCGCGCTCTCCCACGTCGTGCTGCAACGCCTCCCCCAATGCCGCCCCATCTCCACCCGCTCCCCCCCCCACCCCTCCTCCCGCCTCCAGTTTCCATCCGCCGCAGGCTCTCAGGGCATGCGCGCCGCGCCGTACGCGGCGCGTTCCGCTCAGACCAGCAGCCCGCCATCCGCGCACGTGGCCGCGGCGAGGGGGTCGGGCGGGGGAATGGGGACGGGCGGGGGAATGGCGTCGGGCGGGGGGACGGGGTGGGGCGCGGGGAGGCAGCAGCAGGCGCCGATGCCGCTACCGGGGCGGCAGGCGTCGGGGGGGGCGGGGGGCGCGTCGTGGGACAACATGGGCATGAGCGGGGGGTCGAACGCGGGCCTCAGCTCCTCGTGGAGCGACTTCGACACGCGCTCCATCGGCAGCGCGGGGGGCAGCAGCGCGCGCCTCACGGAGGGCGGGGGGGGCGCGGAGTGCCGGCAGTTCACGTTGGCGCAGCTGGCGGCCGCCACCGACAACTTCAGCGACGCCAACCTGCTGGGCCGCGGCGCCTTCGGCATGGTCAGCCCGCACTGCCCCTCAACGCCGCCTCCCCCCCCGCATTGCCGCCTCCCCCCCTGCATTGCCGCCTCCCCCCCCGCACTGCCCCTCAACGCCGCCCCCCCCCCCGCATTGCCGCCTCCCCCCCCGCATTGCCGCCTCCCCCCCCGCATTGCCGCCTCCCCCCCCGCATTGCCCCTCAACGCCGCCCCCCCCCCCCGCAATGCCACCTCCCCCCCCCGCATTGCCGCCTCCCCCCCCGCATTGCCGCCTTCCCCCCCGCATTGCCCCTCAACGCCGCCTCCCCCCCCGCATTGCCGCCTCCCCCCCCGCATTGCCCCTCAACGCCGCCCCCCCTCCCGCAATGCCACCTCCCCCCCCCGCATTGCCGCCTCCACCCCCCCCGCATTGCCGCCTTCCCCCCCGCATTGCCCCTCAACGCCGCCTCCCCTCCCCCAGCAACCTTTTCTCCTATCATCCCGTTTCGTCCCTACCCCTTCTTCCCCCTTCCTCCTCTCCTTCCCCCGGCCCTGCCCGCCCTTCCCCGCCGGCGTCTGTGTGGGACGGCAAGAGGCGAGCTGAGAGAGTGGCTAGACGCCGCTCTCAGCCGCACTGAACGCTCTCACTAGACAAACAGCGCTGCCACTGCCCTCAATGGATGCTCGCTTTGCTGCACCCCGCATTCCTGTTTCCCTCTTCACTGGTCCGTATCGTTTCCGCTTCCTTGAAGATTCTTGTTTCTCCCACAGTCCCTGTTCGATCCCCTATCAACGTTTTGCCCCATGCCAAGCTTGGCTCCCCCTCCCCCTGCCAAGCTTGGCTCCCCCTCCCCATGCCAAGCTTGGCTCCACCTCCCCATGCCAAGCTTGGCTCCCCCTCCCCCTGCCAAGCTTGGCTCCCCCTCCCCATGCCAAGCTTGGCTCCCCCCTCCCCATGCCAAGCTTGGCTCCCCCTCCCCCTGCCAAGCTTGGCTCCCCCTCCCCATGCCAAGCTTGGCTCCCCCTCCCCCTGCCAAGCTTGGCTCCCCCTCCCCCTGCCAAGCTTGGCTCCCCCTCCCCATGCCAAGCTTGGCTCCCCCTCCCCCTGCCAAGCTTGGCTCCCCCTCCCCCTGCCAAGCTTGGCTCCCCCTCCCTCTGCCAAGCTTGGCTCCCCCTCCCCCTGCCAAGCTTGGCTCCCCCTCCCCCTGCCAAGCTTGGCTCCCCCTCCCTCTGCCAAGCTTGGCTCCCCCTCCCCCTGCCAAGCTTGGCTCCCCCTCCCCCTGCCAAGCTTGGCTCCCCCTCCCTCTGCCAAGCTTGGCTCCCTCGCCAAGGGACAGGGGTGGTTCGATAAACCACATTCAATGCCACACCAATCCTGCGTTTTGCGGAGGTAACACCAAGCACGCACACAGTGAGCATGTGCCTGGCAAGCTCAGTAATCGCCTTGCTTGCCTCCCCCCCCGTTCACTCCCCTCCTTCCCCCCTTCACTCCTCTCCCCCTCCCCTTCACTCCTCTCCCCCACGCACTGTGCGGCTGGCAGGTGCACAAGGGGCGGCTGCTGGGGTGCCAGGTGGCGGTGAAACGGCTGGAGGGCGGGGGGTGGCAGGGGCCCAGCGAGTACCGCATGGAGGTGGAGGTGCTCTCCCGCATGCGCCACCCGCACATCGTGCTGCTCATGGGCCACTGCCCCGACGCCATGTGCCTCGTCTACGAGTACCTCCCAGGTGGCTCGCTGCAGGACCACCTAAACCCCGCCGCCCGGGGTGGTGGGCGGCGGCCTTTGTCTGTGGGGGAGCGGGTGCGGGTGGCGTCGGAGGTGGCGTCGGCGCTGCTGTTCCTGCACCACCACGACCCGCCCATCGCCCACCGCGACCTCAAGCCCGACAACGTGCTGCTGGACGGCAACCGCGGCTCCAAGCTCGCCGACGTGGGCCTGGCGCGCCTCATCGCGGAGGACGACAACGTGACGGCGCGCGTGCGAGGCACAGCGGGGTACATCGACCCCGAGGAGGTGGTGACGTGTGAGATCAGTGTGCTGTCGGACATCTACGCGCTGGGGCTCATCATGCTGCAGCTGCTCACGGGCGAGCCGCACGTCAAGGGCGTGCAGCGCCTGCTCGTCGACCTCGTGGGCAGCGGCGCCTACAACTCGGGCCCGGCAGGGCTGGCGCGCGCCGTGGACATTGTGCTGGCGCGCCTCGACACGTCAGCGGGCGAGTGGGAGCGCGAGGTGGCGGTGGAGTTTGCGGGGCTGGCGCTGCGCTGTGCGGACCGGCAGCGCGCGCGGCGGCCAGACCTGGACCGAGAGTTGCAGCCGGCGCTGGTGGCCATGGCGGAGCGCTGCAAGGAGGCAGCGGATCGCCGCCGCGGCCACATGGACTCGCAGCTGCTCTGCCCTCTCAGTCAGGTGCGATGCGCGCTCTCCCAGGTGCTCTGCCCGCCCTCCCAGGTGCCATGCCCACTCTCCCTCCACTTCACTCATTCCTCACCTCACCTCTCATGGGTTGTCCCCTTGCCCTCTGGCAGGAGCGCATGAGTGACCCGGTGGTGGCGGCAGACGGCTTCACATACGAGCGCAGCAGCATAGAGGAGTGGCTCAAGACACACGACACGTCGCCCGTCAACGGCCAGCCGCTGCCTCACAAGTTCCTCACGCCCAACAACACTCTGCGCATGCTGCTCAACTCCCAGGGCTAGACACAACCCTGCCACACTGCCTCGTGTCTTGGGAACCACCACACCACTGGCTGTGAAATTGTTGTTAAGAGGTGCATGGAACTGGAGCACGATTTTGGATGACAAATGGCTTGGGTACCATGTTTGCTGCAGATTGCTTGATCGGTTCTTGGCGATTACCACCTTTTAATCGTTATGTGCATGTTTTTTTAGGGATGTACTACCGTATGTACAGTCTATGGTGTTGGAATAAGAAAGGATATTGGACAAGATAAGCCTGTGAGAGTACCCGTAGGTAGTGGAAGTCTTTTGTAGTTGGAACCTTGATTGTAGTGAATGTAAATGACAAGATTGATTCAATGAAAATATTACACACAATTCTTTAGAGATACGAAGCGGGATGAATGCATTAGATGTGTGAGAAGTACAAATACCAACCCTATAAATGGGTTGTACTCCCTACAACGTTACGCACTATAGCCTAACAAGCTAAGATAAAAATTGACACACCCCCATAGGCTAAGTGAGGGGCATCAAAGCAAGCAAGCGAAACAAATGGTCACAAAACCAGTCAAGAGGAGCAACAGGACAACGCTCAGGGTGGATCTCAAGATCACCACACAGTCCGAGCACAAGCAAACGGCCACAAGGTCAGTTCAAGAGTTCACAAATATATTTACGGTAGATCAAGGACTAGCAGAGCAAGCAACAACAAGAAACAAGGCTACTGCAACCGAGCATTAGTGTCAACAAGGCCTAACTGCAGACAGAACCCTATGGTGGTCACCAGACGCTAGGGCCTTGGTGAAAATGGATTATGTGTTGGCCATTTAGGCCACGAAGTCCAAGCGAGCCCGGCCGCATCGCTGCAACTCTTTTAGGAGAAAGTACCTCGTGTCGATGTGCTTCACTCTACCCTCCAGTCGAGGCTCTTGACAAAGGAGGATCACGACCTTGCTGAAACCGCTCACCAAGGTCAGTGAGCAAAAAAAGTCAAACAACAAAGCTCCTACACAGCCATGGCACTAGCGTAGGTCTCTGCCTCTGCGCTCGACTGTGCCACATACAACGATCGAGTAGACCTCCACGACACAGCTCCAGCACCCAAACTGGAGCAGTATGCCAAAATAGTAGCGTAGCTAGAGTAGCTTAGGAGCATCCTTAGAAGCCATATGTTTAGGGTTTAGAGCAAGGCAAGGATGAGACGAGAGAGTTTGGTGTCAAATTATATGTTTACTGTTATCTAGGCTGTAGTGGGTTTAGCCTTAGGGGGTACAGTAAATTGCTCGACACTTCTTGTACCCCCTCCCTCTTACCTAATCCTCATTCCTTCCTAGCTAATCTCAACATGGTATTTAGAGCGAAATGGTCCTTAGGACCGAATTTTTAAACGGGCCCACCACTCCAATTTCGATCTGCTGCCCGAGTCACGCCCCTAGGAGAAACGCGAAATGCGAAACGCGCCCTAGGCGAGACGTTTTTCTGCCTTAGGAGCGTCCCGTCCCCTAGCTGCCCTAGGCGCGATTCCTCCGCCTAGTCACGTGCGACCCCTCCTGACCGCGCCCTAGCTGCCCCGTGCGCCACTCGCGCGGCCCGTCAGCCCCTACGCCCGGTCCCCCCTCGTTCTTGCTGCTGCGCGCGCCACTCACGCTGCCCGCCAGCCCCTAGCGCGCACCTGCTGCGCGCCCGTTTTAAGCTGCTCCGCGCGCACCTGTTGCGCGCCCCTGGTTTGCTAGCCCACAGCCCGCGCGTGCCTACTGCTGCTGTGCGCCGACTGCTGCTACTGCTGCGCTGCTGCTACTGCTCAGCTGCTGCTGCTGCTGCTGTTAAGCTGCTGCTGCTGTTGTTAAGCTGCTGCTGCCGCCTGCGCTGCTGCTGCTGTTAAGCTCCTGCTGCCGCCTGCGCTGCTGCTGCTGCTGTGCTGCGCTGCAGCTGCTGCTAAGCTACTGCTGCCGCTTGCCTCGAGCGTGCCCTGCCCTTCTGTGGGCTGCTGCGCTGCTGCTACTGCTGCGCTGCTCCTACTGCTCAGCTGCTGCTGCTGCCGCCTAAGCTGTTGCTGCCCCGTGCGCTGCTGCTACTGCTGCTGCTACTGCTGCTGCTGCTGCTACTTGCTGCAGCTGCTCCTCCTTGCCGCTGCTGCTGCTATTAAGTTGCTGCTGCCGCCTGCGCTGCTGCTGCTGTTAAGCTGCTGTTGCTCCTGTTAAGCTGTTGCTGCCGCCTGCGCTGCTGCTGCTGTTAAGCTACTGCTGCCGCCTGCGCTGCTGCTGCTGCTGCACTGCTTCTATTGCCCTGCGCTGCGCTGTTGCTCTGCACGCGCGGCTGCCCTGCCCTGCACGCGCGGCTGCCGTGCCTTTGCTGCTGCAAAGCTGCTAACCTGCTGCTGTTGCTCGAGCCGCCCTGCTGAGCCGAGTTGCTCCGTGCGTTAGTGCTGCCCTGCCCCCTGCACTCGTGCCGCTGCTGCTGCTACTAGGCTGCTGCTGCCACTTGTGCTGCTACTGCTGCGCTGCTCCTACTGCTCAGCTGCTGCTACTGCTAGGCTGCTGCTGCCACCTGCGCTGCTGCTACCACCTGTGCTGCTGCTGCTGCGCTGCTGCTACTGCTGCGCTGCTACTACTGCTCAGCTGCTGCTGCTTCCGCTAGGGTGCTGCTGCCGCATGCGCTGCTGCTGCCACCTGTGCTGCCGCTGCTGCCGTAACTGCCACTCCTGCTGCTTGCTGCCGTTCGTGCTGCTATGGCGACTCCCACTGTTCTAGCCTTTGACGCAGTGGGGCAACCTTTAGGGTTTGACTCCTGGCTAGAGGGGCTGCACCTGTACCTCCAGAGTGTTAAACGGGACAACGTCTCCCTGTTCGAGCACACGTCGGGGTCCCTTCCGGCCCTAGAGGCTCCTGCTGAACCTACTGCTGACGCTAAGGAGGAGGAGCGGACGCAGTTCCGCGCAGCTCACCTTGCCTACAACCGGTGGATGGCGCGAGACGCTGCCGCCTCACTTGCAGTCCGCCTTCACCTCTCGTTCGACCAGCGAGCCTTCTTCCCCAGGAGTCAGGTGCCGTCGGCCCATGTTTTGTATTCCACTGTGGTTAGGCGCTACTCCCCCCCCCCCTCCTGCAGTCCTAGGCTGTCTTGCGCTGCCTCTTACCTTCCCTGCGCTGTCAGACCTCACCACTGTAGCTAATGAGGGTCGTAGTGGAGCTGGCGGGAGTGGCGGGGGCGGGCACCAGGAGTTAGAGCCTTTGTGTGTCGCTGCTTGTGCGCCTACTAGCACAGTCTATGCGCACCCCTCCACTGTTCTCCCGTGTCTCGTAGTCCCCTCTGCCTGCTCTGGCTCGACCGAGGGGGATGACCCTACTGCTGCCGACACAGCGACCTCTCGCCGCTCACCGCGCTTGGAGACACCTCCGGGTTTTCCGCCCCGGACATCTTCGCCTCCTCTGCAGCTTGTCGCTGCGGACTTCGGGGGCCCAGGTGTTGTTGGGGGTGGTGACGCTGAGGGTTTTGGTTCTGGGGGTGCTAGTTCTGGGGGTGCTGCCTCTGGGGGTGCTAGGAGTCCTCTTGTTGGTGGAGTTGGAGGTACTGGCGCTAGAGGTGCTGGGTCTGGGGGTGCGTTGCAGTCGCTGCCACGGCAGTCTATCTTCTTTGAGCAGCCGTCGTCGTGGCTACCTGAGCCGACGCCCACTTGTACTACTCCTCTGTTGTTTCCGCCGCCTGTCTCCCCACTGCCTGCTCCTGCTCGATACGTCCCGTTGTCCGTCTTCCTGACTGGGCATCGGGAGCCTGTGTCTTGTGCCGCCTCCCCTGCTCCCTCTCGTGTTACTCGGGAGCCTGTTGTCCTGCCGTTACCTCCCCCGTCTTCTCTTCCTCCTGTTCCTGACCCTGTGTCTGACCTTGCTCGTGTTGCCAGCCCGACTATCCCTCGTAGTCTAGCCGCGCTTGTGACTCCACCTGCTTCTTCGACTGCTGCTGCTTCTGCCTTAGTAGCTGATCTCACTAGTTTTGCCGCTACTTGTCGTCGTACCTACCTTTCTGGTCTCGTCTCTGTCTCTTCGTGTCCTACGTTCGTTGGGGGTGAGTTTGCCCTTGGCTGTGACGTCATTGAGGACACGCAGTTCGAGCTGGTGTACCATCCTGCGCACTAGCGAGCTGCTAGGAGGGTGTTGCGCTACCTGGTCAGACTAGCGAGCAGAACGTAGCACTTTGCACTTCGTTCCTTTGCCGTGCGAGTGTTGCTGCAGCGTTCCCAGCTTCGCCTTTGTACGTGGCCACACGAGCCAACACTGCTTGTCTCTTGATCTTGTCTTGTACTTTGATATATAAACCTGCATGTTTCTGGTTGTTAGGTTGTAATCATTGTACTGCTTGCTCTATTATAAACCTGCACGTGAACTGGCCTTGTGGCCGCTTGCTAGTGCTCAGAATGCGTGGTGATCTTGAGATCCACCCTGAGCTTGTTTTGCTTTGTTTCTTCTCTTGACTCGTCTTGTGACCTCTTCTTGTGTTTGCTATCTCCCACTTCGCCTATGGGGGTGTGTCAAATTATATGTTTACTGTTATCTAGGCTGTAGTGGGTTTAGCCTTAAGGGGTACAGTAAATTGCTCGACACTTCTTGTACCCCCTCCCTCTTACCTAATTCTCATTCCTTCCTAGCTAATCTCAACATTTGGCAAAAGAGTGATTTCACAATAGAATAGGGTAAGTTATAGGCAAGCATGAGGGTGCACCACCAAACAAGAACATAGAACTACACTAAGTCTACACTACAGGCAGTTATAGAATAATGTATACAAATACATTTTGACACAGTACCCCTGAGTAGACTGCTGGGTCTCCACGTCGTCGGCGTACGAAGAGTCGCAGTGACTGTTTAGTACAACTGGCTGTGTCCCTCCAAGCACAAGCCCCTCGCCTGATGTAGTTGCTAGATACTTCGCCACCATCACAGCAGCAGTCCAGTGCACAGGACAGTGTTTCCCAGTCGCAACAAAGCGAGAGAGAACGCTAAGGGGAAAGGCGAGGTCCGAAC